AAAGTTTTGCAGCCTGACAAAATAGCTGTGATAAATAAATTAAGCAACATGTATTACGGTGCAGTTCAACAGCCTTGAACTGCTCACCGATGCTCTTCTCTGGAACCACCAGAATGTAAAACCCGGCCCTATTTAGCACATTAAATTCCTGGCAACGGTCTTCAGCAGCCACTTTGCCCACATCGCCCCATACCAACAGCCACCCCACGCAGGTCAAGTTCTGCTGGACAGGTGTGCGAATCCAATAGCTTTGTTGGCAGCAATCGATGCGGTGGGTGGATGAAGAGAACAAGCTCTGAGAACGGCTTGACGATCACAGTGTGCGGTTTCTGCTTGTATCGGGTCTTCTGATCCAATGCTGAATGTATCTTCAGATGATCAGGAAGAGCCTCCCTAATGAGGTCTTTCACCCTATTTTGCACAGATGCCTTAGGACGAGCCCTTTAGGGTTGACTCTCATGTAGATGTCTGAAACCTTCTGAACTCGGAAGGGTGTGGGCACCCAACAAAGCAGGGGTGGAGCGCAGCCATGGGCCTCCGCATTCCCCGGGCTCTCAAAAACATTTAGCCAGCCACTTTCAGCAAGGAAGAGGGACTGCAGCACCGTCTGAATTTGGCGGACACTCGCTGTGCCTCTCCTTCCTCTTCCTCTTCCTTCCCCCTTCCCCAGGCACAGCCACCCAGGCCCCATCCCAGGGGCAGTGCCCCATCTCTGGGGTCTCAGCTGGAGTGGAAACAACTGTGCCAGCCGAGTGGGAGGCGGGAGCCGTTCTGAAGCTGCAGCAGGGACTCTGGCTCTTCCTGCTGCTTCCTGTCAGTGCCTACCAGTCAGGGTCACAGTGGAGGAAATTTCTTTACAAATATAAATTCAAGAGAAGGCATCTGTTTCATCCTTGGATCCTGCTCCGTCTCCAAAGGGCTTGCGGCAAGTGTGTTGTCATTGCAACCAGCTGGAGGGAAAGGTTAGGATGAACCCCCTGAGGCCACCCAGAGTTTCATGGCAAGCTGGGAGGGAATTCAGCTGGGGCTGCCTCAGTCCTCGTCCTCTAAGCCAGCACGGGGGAGCTTCCTTGGACTTAGAAGGCTGTGGAGAAAGATGTTCTCTCAGAGGGCCAGAGCAGGGTGCCAGGGGCTGCAAGCCAGTGGGGGGGTGGGGATGAAGCATAAAGTGGACGGAGGGATCTGCACACCACACACGCTCCCCTCACGGTATTCATTCACCCACATCCACACCCACCCACACGCCATTCACATTATTTGTACAGTTCCCACACAGGCCAGCAGAGGGCACTAGTCCTTCGGGAGCCACCAGCCTTCACTTGCTCCAGCGTCCCCAGAAGGCCAACCCTGGAACCAAGGCTGTATAGTGCCCCTGAGGCCTCTCAGAAGGCATGCAGAGATTTGGGAACAGGGGGTGGGGGGGGGGCAGGGATAAAAGACCCCTTTTCCCCCCCCCCCCCCCCCCCCCCCCAGCTTTCCTTTGCTGTGCTCTAGCCGTACAGCTCTGCCAGTTGCTAACATATTTTATATCTGCATAGCAAGAAGTGGAGGTCAGGAAAGAAGTTTGCTGAAAGTTTGCTGAAAGAAGTAGGATTCTTCACAAGGCTAAGGCTGATTACGAGTTGAGACTTGCCAAGAATATCAAGAGCAATGAAAAGGGCTTCTTTCAGCATGTGAAGAGGAAGAGGAAGGCGAGACAAGTGGTGGGACCACTAAATAAGGAGGAAGGAGATCCAGTGACTGATATGAGGGTACAGGCACAGATGCTAAATGACTATTTTGCCTCTGTGTTCTCCCCAAAGCAGGACGGGGGATATCCGCATAGGAGATTAGATGGGGCTGGGGACTTAGGGGCACAGATTAGAGTCACCCCCCTTGAAGTCAAGGGGCTCCTCAGGGCATTGGACATTACAAAGGCACCAGGCCCTGACGGGTTACACCCGAGAGGACTTAGAGAGTTGGCAGGGGTTCTCTCATGCCTGCTGGCCTCCATTTTTGAGACCTCGTGGAGAACGGGTGAAGTTCCAGAGGACTGGAGGGTGGCATCAGTGGTCCCAATTTTCAAAAAGGGTAGTAGAAGGGACATGAGGAATTACAGACCTGTTAGCCTTACGTCCATTGTAGGAAAAACAATGGAAAGGCTCATAATAGAGAGATATCTAGTGATGCTAGATAGGGAAGGGAGGCTGACAGCCACACAACACGGCTTCCGCAAAAACAGGTCCTGCCAGACAAACTTTGTGGAATTCTGTGACAAGGTTTTGAGATGGCTAGATGGAGGGGATGCAGTGGATGTGGTATACCTGGATTTCAGCAAGGCCTTTGACAAAGTGCCACATGATATCCTGGTGGAGAAACTGAGGAGTTTTGGGATACACCAAAGCACTGTCCGGTGGATTAGGGCATGGTTGACTGACCAAAAGCAGAAGGTAACCATTAGTGGGGAATCATTGGGATGGTGACCAGTGACAAGCAGGGTCCCCCAGGGCTCTGTCCTGGGGCTGATCCTGTTTAATCTTTTCATTAACGACGTGGAAGAAGGGGTGAACAGTCTGCTGATCAAATTTGCAGACGACAGTAAAACTGGAGCAGTGACCACAACTGAGGAGCAGGTAATCCTGATCCAAAAGGATCTGGACAGACTATGGAAGTGGGCAGGAGACAACAGGATGGCGTTCAATGTGGATAAGTGCAACGTCTTGCACTTGGGGCATAGGAATAGCTGTCATAAGTACAGGTTAGGTGACAAGTGGCTGGAGAGCAGCACTTGTGAAAGGGACCTCGGGGTACTGGTTGACTGCAGGCTAAACATGAGTCAGCCATGTGATGCGGTGGTCAAGAGGGCAAACGCCACCCTTGGTTGCATAGCCAGAAGTGTGGCTTCTAGATCAAGAGAGGTATTACTACCACTCTATACAACTCTGGTGCACCCGCAACTGGAGTATTGTGCTCAGTTTTGGGCCCTCCTTACAGAAAGGATATAGCCAGGTTGGAGTCAGTGCAGTGTAGGGCCACAAGGTTGGTGGCCGGTTTGCAGGGGATGCCATATGAGGCAAGACTGAGGGAACTGGGTCTCTTCAGCCTGGAGTAGAGGAGACTCCGAAGGGATCTGTTGGTGACATACAGGTATGTGAGGGGATGTCACATGGAGGTGGGTAGAGACCTGTTCTCCCCTGCAGAGGAAGGCAGAACGTGCTCTAACGGAGCAAAGCTCAGGGAACCCAGGTTCCATTTGGATGCCAGGAAGCACTTCCTGACAGTCAGGACCCCGAGGGTGTGGAATGGGCTTCCCCAGGAGGTGGTTGAGGCCCCATCGGTGCGGGTGTTCAAGGATAGGCTGGACGTCCACATGGTGGGCATGTCGTGAGCGGAGCCGGTTGGTGCTGGAGGTCAGACCAGATGGCCCGGGAGGCCCCTTCTGACTCGCTCTGTTTCTATGTTTCTATGTTTGCCACCCCAATCAGCCTCACCTCTAAGATACTTACAATAAGCTGTCAGGGGCTCAGGTGAGCAGGTTAATTCCTTTTCTTCCTCTGCCTGCCTTTTTTGTTTTCCTTTTTTCCAACAGATGCATCAACATGCCATGCTCAGTCCGCTTCTGCCATAGGCCAAGTCAGTAGACACACAGCGCATGGACACTGGAATCGGAGACAGCGGGAGGAATAGTTGAAGACACAACCCCTCACTCCTCTGAACAGAAGAGCACAAGCCTGGAGCTCAGGAGATCTGGGTTCTGGTCCCCACTTGGCCATGGAGCCAGCTGGGTGCCTTTGGGCCAGTCACAGACTCTCAGCCCAGCCTACCTCACAGGGTTGTTGTTGTGGGAATAAGATTGAGAGCTGAAGGAATAGAATGATCAAAGTTGCTTTGAATGCTTTAAGAAAATATGAGGCGGGACATAAAGCTAAACAAATAACGAAATAAATTAAGGAAGCAGTTGTGTACTAGCTTCTTTGCCCTCTCTCCCCAGTGTTCTTCCTTCCTTCCTTCCTTCTCTTTCTCTCTCTGTAGGTTCAATTTTGACCATAAGCGTACTGTTTCTGTCAGACAGGGCCTTTGGTGGAGTGTTATACATTTTAAAAATGCCATTTATTTTTTTTTTAAGTCATTGTTTGTTATTTCACAAATTAATCTAATTAAGTGAATCTGTCCATGCCTTGAATATGTGGAAGCCATTATTTTTTGGCCCGGGCTCCATTTTGCCCTCCAACCTGAATGTGCTGTAAGAAGGAATAGGCAGAACCTCCAATAAAACGTTGCAGTGCATTCTCACCTCTTAGTAGGATGGCTCCTACCAGCAGTGCCTTCCTCCAGCTGGCCATTCCATTCCCATCCGCAGCACCCCACTTTCCAGATGACTGACAGTCAACATTCTGCAGCTATTGGGTTGTTTCGTGTGTGTGTGTGTGTGTGTGTGTGTGTGTGAGAGAGGGAGAGGGAGAGGGAGAGGGAGAGGGAGAGGGGGAGAGAGAGAGAGAGAGCCTCTTTCACATTAGGGAGGGCAGTTGTATTGCTTCAAAACAATGTTTCCGTGATAGTTGCCTCTCAGATGATGATGAAGTTAAACTTCTTTCTGCCTTGGCCTATCGCTTCTATAGGTAGGATGGACAAATGACAAAGACTTAGCTGTCAAGGCCACCCCAGGGCCTCTCTCTTTAAGAAATCTGCAAGGCAGCACTGGTAGCTTCTCCCAAGCTACCACACTTCTTTCCGGCTCTGCTGGAAAGCCACTGCCAGATTGACTCCCCACAGTTCATTAGCTCCTTCCTCTTCATTGGCAAGCGGGGGCCCAAAGGCGAAAAGTGGGTCTTCCTGTCCACCTGCAACTTCTGTGACAAATGAAATGGGCTAGGCAGCCTTCCCCAACTTGGTGTGCTCCAGATGTGTTGGACTACAACTCCTATCAACCCCAGACAGCATGACTGTGTGTGACACAGGAGAAATGTTCCTTTATTGTGCAAAACACAGATCATGAGTGATCAGTGGAATGATTCAACTAAACTCAACTAGTTGCAGTTTGTCCCTTGCCTCGGGAAAATGAATGCAGGAGTTCCTTGTCTGTAATGCATTGTTCTGCCACTAGGGGTCAATGTTTTCAGTTTGTGATAGTTGACCATTAAACTGCTAATTTATTAACTGATGTGCTTACTCCATAGACAGACATACAGATGAACACATACAGCATTTCTGACAAAGAACTCTTCAAATTTTACTTTTAACAGCAATGATGTACAATTGAAGAGACATAGGATGCAAAAAGGAAAAAGAGACAGGAAAAGAAGTCAGATACCAATTCGTAGTGTTAACATGAATTTTCTTAACAACCCAGTAGAATGGCAAGTGGGAAATTTTCTGGGAGGAAAGGAACCAAAAAGCAAGTTTCCCTGACTTTGCTATTCAGACACCAGTATTTCACCGAAGTTCAGGCCGTGAAAAGGGGACGCTCTGCTCACTTGTATCTTTTATACTGAATATATGTTTTTTCAGAAAATTGCAGTGTCCGGCAGGGTAGATTTTCTTGATTTGGTGCGGCCCTGAGCTGATGTGGAAGTACTTCTCCTCTGTGTCATTGTACGGTGGCCACAGCAATTCATTGGATGGGGATCCACTGGGATTCCTGTCAAGAAAAAGAAGAGATCGTGTTATATTACAGTGAAAGAGCGCAGCTGCATTAAGGCCTGAGCAGTTTGATACATGTGCATTGAGTCTGTCTCTTTCTTTAAGGAGCTGTCTCTTCTCTCTGCCAATCTGCACTTCTGAAAATACACACATCCTCCCAAGGTATGCATTTTCATGCTTCAGCCTACGGAGAAAATATGCACATTTGATGTGCTTTTTATTTTTCATGTTTTTCTACTATATTTGCATAAAAGTCCAAAAAATAAATGACCAGTCTGCAAGTCTGCATATTAAGCATGAAATGTGAAAATGCCAGCACTATGCACAGGTTGGAGTGAGAGAGATGCAAATGCATTTGAGCCCTCTGTGATTTTTTCCGACTCTCCTAGAGGCACGGCTATGAGGGTGTTGTTATGAGGTCGTGCGCTTCAAAATTTACCACTACACCACTGTTTAAAATACACCGAGCTTTTACAATTTAATGTTGACTGTATTTAAGAGTTAGGCCTTTGAACGAACTCCAGTCTTGGAAGGCTCCAATCTTGGCCTTCTCTACTGAAATCCAGTATGTAAGAGCTTGGAAGGTGCAGTGCTCAATGTATTTAATGTACATGACATGGGTATATTTCTTCAAGACTTTTGAATCAGAGGACATGTCTGCCCACAGTAAGTAGAAAACTCAGCATTATGGAGAGAGAAAGAAGAATAAAAAGGGAGGTAGATTCTAACCTCAGAGTAGTTAGGAGTTGGTGGTTATCTAGAAGGGTATGCTTGGTTTATTATTTTCTCTTGGGCTGTGAGCTTTAAAGAGGAAGTTTTCAATTAGACTTGTCTCAGCTGGAAGATTTAACTATTTGTTGGGGCTATTATAAGAGTTGGAAACTATATATATGCTTAGACTAGATGTTATATAAGGGTTCTCTGGGAACCCTCTTTGAAGGAAATCAGGAGGGTAGTTACTCAGAGAAGGGCCTTTTCAGCGGTGGCCCCGACTGTAGAAGACGTTCCCCAGGGTGGTCGCCTGGTGCCATCACTCTATTCTTTTCAGCACCAGGCAAAGACCTTTTTATTTTCCTGATATTTGGACAATTAACTGGTTTTATCCTTGTGTTTATCACTATTTTTAGATGTCGTGTGCTGTGCTTTGTTGTTGTTATGGTTTTTGTTCTTTGGAATTTTTTTGTTCTTTTGGGATGGCATAGAAAAAATCATCATCATCATCATCATCATCATCATCATCATCTATGTAAGCCCTCCTAAAGCCCCCCCCCCAAAATCCGTGGTTTAGGATGCACAAAAGCAGATTGGATTGAAAAGAAAGAGAACCAGTTACACTAACACTGGCATCAAAAGCCCAGCTATGGAATAAATGCCCAGGCACTGCGTTCAATGTGTCTTACCCACTTCTGGAAAACTCTGCCCAGTACCGCATCACCTTGCGGCTCACTGCGGCATCCGCCTCTGTACTCGTCCCGTTCACGCCGAGCAGCACGGAGAGGGTTCCAAACAGGTAAGGCACCTCTGCGCCATGGGCTGCTCCCATCCACTCCCGCCACATGGGGCCAGGAATGTGGTGGTCGAAGGAGTACGTGTACACTGGACCCCCAACGGATGCCATGCTTTCAATGACGTCAGCCATTGGGCAGAAAAAATAATAATCTCTCCAAAAGTGGGAGAGGGCCTGACGGTAGCCGCCCGGCCCATGACTGTCTTCGGTGTACTTCTCCACTAGTGCCAGGGTGACATTTCTCTCCATGGGCTTTGGTAACACGAAGGACATCCCTTGAAGGACGTGCTCTCGGGTCAGGACCGCATCGTCGTTCTGGGCATCAGGGACGCCGTATGGTACAAGGACAGACCCGTCGTCTTTAGTAACGCCTGTGAGTAATGGTTTAGCGGGAATTCTCCCAGACTGCAGAAGCTTCCTTGGCTCATCAGGAAGGAAGTCCCCATCAGAGGTCGGTGAGAATAACGCATCCACATGATAAAACACCTTCGCTCCAATTTCTGTATCCTGCAGGCAGCTCACCACAGCACTGTAGTTATGTTTTGGACACTGAACAATGTCCCCCAAATACAGGGCAGACTGTTTCATAGCCTCAGGGTGCTTCCAAGCCCAGGAGCTGCTGGGCGAGCCACTCTGCATCACTGCATGGGCGAAAAGGGGCTGGCTTGCTGGCGAGAGGAGGTGGTACCCCACAGCAGCTGCCCCGGCACTGTGGCCGACGAGCGTCAACTGAGACACGTTGCCCCCAAAGGCCGCTGCGTTCTCATTCAGCCACTTGAGGGCCAGGTGTTGATCCCATAACCCCATGTTTCCTGAGGCATCTGGTGGGAAATAAAGGAAGCCCAAGGCCCCCAGCCGGTAATTCATGGAAGCCACAATAATGTTCTCGGTAGCAGCTAACGTGGCTCCGTTGTATAAGTCCATGGAGGCTGCTCCAGTCATAAATCCCCCGCCGTGGATCCAAGCAAGGATAGGGACTGGCATGGAGGGCCTTGGGTGAGGTACCCATACATTGAGGAAGAGGCAGTCTTCTGCATTGGATGCGTTAGCAACCCATATGTCTAAAGCGGGGTAGGAGAAAGTGTCTCTCTGGAGGCAGGGGTGGCCGTACTGGGTGGTCTCCAAGACATGGCTCCATGGCTGGTGAGGATGGGGCTTCTGGAAACGCAGCTTCCCCACAGGGGGCTCGGCGTAGGGGATGCCCAGGTAGGCTGTCACGGAGCCAGATCCAGTCAGGACTCGCTTGCCTCTAATGGGGCCAGTGCTGGTGACCAGCACAAGGTCATCTTCAGAGGCAGAAACAGAAATCAGGAGGAGGAGGCCCAGGAAAGCCGAGAGGAGGGTGGCCATTGCAGCAGCTGCAAAACATGCACACAAACACGCATGTACTTGGCGCTGTCCCAACCAAGCACACGCGGAGCCTCTCTTTCGAAATGGAACGTCTTGCCCAGCTATTGCATGGCAGAGAAAGGACGATCAGGGAGGGGGGCGAGTTCCCAACTGAAGCCCTTCACCTGACCCTTCTCGGAACTTCTGTGTTTTTCTGTTTATTAAAAAATGAGCACTGCTCGAGCAACCCCTGGGGTCCCACGGGGAAGAGGGACGGGGCGCGTGACATGCCTTCTGCATGCTCACTCCCAGTTCTGCAAGGGCTACAAGCGTGGGAACCACCCACCCCTGTGGATCCGGGCAGGGAGGCATTTCTTCTTCAGGAAGAACGGCTCCAGCCTAACCGCGTGGAGACTCCGCGAAAGTCATCGTGCTGATCAGTTGCGGCAGAAGCAAGCAAGCATCTTTGGCTGTATTAAATGTGGGGCAATGGCAGCAGCCTGGAATGGTTGGTTAGGGCTGACTTGATCCGTATTCGTGAGCCCAGGGCATTACAGCCCAATCCTAAATTGATGGGGAGCCTGGTTTGGGCTGGCAGGCTTTAATTCTTCACCCATTGGGAAGTCCCAAACTGTATCTGGGGGGCGGGGGGCACACAAACGGATTAGTTGCACCAATTTTTCTATGAAGAGAGCGAGAGACTAAGATAATCCACACTCAGGGGTCCTTGAACTATGGCTTGAAAGAAGGGCTATTATGTCGTTTGAACCCTGCAACACTAACAAGCCATGAGTGATTAACCACAGACAACCCTTGAAGAAAAACCGATGGACAGATGGCGTTCTACTTCTGCACCTGCGACTTGAGGACTTTGTATACTGTGAGCCCTTTGCACAAAGAATTGCATATTTTGTGCACTTTGCACAAAGAATTACATGCATCGTATACTTTCTGCAAAGAAGCTGCTCATGTTCCCAAGCATTCATGGACTTGACCTGAGTTCAGCTCACTTCTTGGCCAGGATGGAGCATGGAAAAGAAGTCCAGCCAGTACAAACAGAGCTGGATCCCTCGTCTAAACCCTCTCGATCAAGGAAGCAAGAGAGCAGAGGGCATAGATTAAGACAGCTGGCACGGGAAGACAAAAGCAGATGGGAGGGACCTGGCAGTCGTGGGGGAGACAGGAAAGGAGCAATGCTTGTGTGCCTGTAGGTCACCTGTAGAGATGTGAGGATCAGCCTGAAATCCAGCCCTCTTGGGCTCCCCAGACTTCTTTCCCATGCTCAGTCCTGGCCAAGAGGCAAGCTGCGCTGAGATCAAGTCCACAAACACTCGGGAACCTTCCTGGCTCCTTTGTTCAAAGTGGGCAAGTACGCAGAATGCAGTTCTTCGCACAACATACGCAAATACCGTCCTTGCACAAAGGACACAAACCCTGCAGGGCCACCTGCATGGAAGGGGAACGCTCCTCCGTGCTGGTTGCCCACACACACGCTCAGTGCCAGGCAGACTGAGGGAAGAGAGTGCACGAGAGCTGAGGTGGAGAAACTGGAGGCTTCTCTCCAGCTCAGGCTGGGGAAATTTGGTGGACTCTGCTCCCAGCCAGCTTCCTCACAGATCCCTAGACTTACCTTTCCTGTAGCCAATGCCAGAGGTACAGAAATAATTTAAGTAAAAAAACAAACATTCATATCCATCCAATAAAGGATGAAAGGTATCTCTTTTCAGATAAAGACACAAATCAAATTTCCAACCGAAA